AAAATTAAAAACATGTTCAGTGTTAAAGATCGTACTCCTGATGCTCTAAAATCCATGGTAGTTTATCAATTTTCTTGTGCGGGATGTAATTCCCGTTATATTGGCGAAACTAGTCGCCACTTCTCTACTAGGATAAAGGAGCACACGGAAAGCGATAAAAACTCGCATATTTTTAAGCATTTCAACACATCTCCTTCTTGTAAGAACAAATACTCCCTTTCTTGCTTTAGTATTCTGGATTCTGCTAACAACTCAATTGATTTAAAACTCAAAGAAGCTTTTTATATAAATAAGATCAAACCTGAACTTAACAAACAATTACAGCATTATAACACTTTTCTCGCGTTTTAGTTCACACCTTTGATGTTTGGTGTCACGTTGTAATTAGTACTCGCGTTTGTATTACATCATACTGTAAATATTTTACTCATCTACTTGTCTGTTATATAATTACTCACGTTCTGTTCCTCATTGATTGAAGATGGCATAAGCATGCCGAAACATGTCTCTCAAAAAAGTTGTATATTTCTTACAATATATATTTAAAAATTGCGAGGATGGACAACTTTTGACGTCAAAAATATAAAAAGTTTTTCAAGAAAACTATATATATATATATATATATATAAACTGTATATATATAAACTACATATATATATACATATATATATATATACACATATATATATACACATATATGTTTATATACCAGGGGATTTTAATCACAAGAATATTCGTAACCATATTAAAAGATTTGCATAATTAGCAGAGCGGTAAATTTAAATGTTGTAAAGGCTTGAAGGGATGAAAGTGTAGTCTCTTTGTATTTTCCTACTTCAACATATATCGCGCTCTACTTTTATGTATCGAGCACTGTGCTACGGGAAAATCGAAACGCAGACTTCCCATATACTGATATATATTTACAAAGGAACTTGTCAGTTTAGGTTTTCTTTCCGACCTCGATATAAAGCATCTTTTTCCCTCCAAAAAAAAACCAAATTGGGAAGAGCTGACAATTTCAACTTGATTCGACCCTGATTATGTCTTTGAGGATTATTTCTTTTAAGGTTGTCCGGCGAAACGTCGGTCACTATTACCAATCGCAGTGAGTTCTCAGCTTTCCCATTATTTGTTCGCCAGAAGATATACGGATATTTTAGGGAGAAGTTAAATGTTAATCACTTCTGGGAGTGAAGGGGTTAGGCAGCATAAGAATTAGTTGTCAATTCCATACTCACAGCTTTCAAAAATCATTTCACAAACTTGTTCATCCATTGGAAATTTGCGCAAATTCATTGGGCAGTATAAACTTAGTTTCAGTCTGAAATTAAAGAGAAAGAAAAAAAAAAAACAGAGATCACAAGTCAAGAAAAGATGACGATGAGCCTATACAATCGGCGAAAAAATTGTCGACAAATTGATCTTTCTTCTTAATCTCCTACTACTTCAATTTTATCTCTTTGCCCTCCTCAACTTAACCTATTTGTCCCCTCCCTCCCCCCCACAAACAATGGTGTATTATAATTCCATGAACTTTCTGCCATCATTGAATGGGAGAGGGGGGTCTGTTATGACTGGTTCTCTTTGCATGAATAGAAGTCTTCAAAAATGACGTGTTAACTAACTTTGACGCTGTCTGCAGGTATCCGTACAACTCTATTGTCCCATCACGATAAAATATTTCTTGTACTCCAGCCATATATTAAAGCCGGACAGTTAAAGATCAACACAGGGGTGTTGTTCTATGCGGACCATATTATTTTGGTATGTAGATATTTAAGAGATAAGCTTTTAACTTAAGAAAAGATACCCGAACTAGGAAGCAAATTTATTTAGGTATTCAAAAGGTAAAAACAATGAGAGTTCTTAAACTAACCTGCAACTATGCGTGATGACACCCTCTTGTGAGAGCTCAAACATAAAATCTCCGCAGATTGCTTTGCCGGTCAAATCGTTCACAAAATACGTGTCTGGTATCCAAACCTGGTCGACAATGTTCCCTAACAACTTCATTTTAGGCATTCCAAGGGAGGGACCGTAAGCCAAGCGAGGGTCGAGCCAATGTTGACGGAAAAACATTACGAATGTCGCCTCCTACGTTCAGATAAAAAACATGAACTTCACAAGTCATGAACTTTACAAGAACAGGAACTTTATATGAAACATCTCAGGATTTGTTAATGTAAAGCAAACAAATTAAACTGCATGGAAGGTTATATGAACTTTTGTTTTGTATTCTCTCGGATAGGCTGACACTTTTCTCTCTCCTCCTCCTCCCCTGTGAGGAGCGTCTATGAAGTGAAATATTCCCTGGTCTAACAAACAGTTTCTCATCAGACAATTCCTTTCCTTGGTTCAATTGTATGCCTCTTCCTCCTGAAGATTCACAGGTTTGTCCTTGATAACCCATGTTTAACTAGGGCAAGGCTTTGCGGACGACAAAACTGATCAGTTCTCCGATCTATCCTGGGACCATCATTATTGATCACCTGGGGGCGGGGCATCATTATTGATCACTTGGGGGGGGTGGGGGGATTTTTGGTTGAGTCACAATAAAGTTTACCTGATCCCCCAAGGCTCTGTAGTATTGTTATGATCCTCCCTCATTGGCAGTTCTCTATCGTTACCCTTTTATACTCCCCTTTCATACTCTGTCAGCAACTTTGGACTTTGAACTTTGAACTTTTAAAACCATGTAAGGGACCGACCATTTAACTCTTGAGGGGGAGGGGGAGTGGGCAATTTTTAAAAAAAAATTTCCTGCAAGCGCTTGTTGGAAGAAAAAAATTGCATGCGGCCCAAATGTAACAGAAAAAAAGAGCATTTAGAACGGAAAAATTATTCTGCAGAGCAGATTGCGAGAAAAAAAATTTCTTGATGACCAGAAATCACCCACCCCCAACAAATGTTAAATGGTCGGCCCCTAATACCCCAGAAATTCTTAGACCCCCTACTAGGCGATAATTAATTCTGATGCATTATTTGGAATCCTTCATGATCTATTTAGTACTAATGTAGCTGATGGTTTACGCCGAGTACAGCGTAGGTAGAGATATTTTGGTCTTGGAATAAAAGTACAGTATTCTCCGATGACTCTTACCAGTCTGCACGGAGAGAACGAGACTCAGGGCATTTTTCTTAAACCAAGCCACGTTCGCCGCATAGCACTTACCATGTCAATCTCTTTGATTGGCACCATTGATACAATATGCATAGAAATGTTAACTTTACATGGAGGACCTTTGAAAGAAAGTGTTAGGAGTTTTGGTAATTATAGTATAGAATTAAAAAAGGCTGATGAAACCTTTATTTACACCCTAAAATCAGTGTGGCTAATCTCCGCATTGTTCTGTATTCATTTCCTGTGTTACTAAAAAGGAGACAAGATATTTCACAATCAAGAACTCCTTAACTTCACCATCATTTCTTTTATTCTCATGAGCTCGATGTTTGATTCATGGGTGATTTTATTGTTGGGAGAAATATTATGCTAGTCACTCTTAAGGATCAAGGCTTAATAGACACTGCAAACACACGATTAAAAGTATCAAAATTTCCGACCTTATCCATCAAGTGTTTTATTGGCTTCGCTGATTAACAACCATGACAAGTACAAGTTGCTATTTACATCTGGAGCCATGATGGGGCGGGTGAATTCATTCACATTTCGAACTAATTGCTTTTTTCGGTGATTTATTCAAGTAGGATGCATTTAATGACAATATATCTTGAATAAAAGATGAATTGAAGGAAAATTGTCTGAGAATACCGGCTGGAGATAGTTTCAAGGGGTATATTAGCCATCCCCTGAAGCGCTATCTGTCAGAGAAAAACACGCCCTTCCAACTTGGTTGGTTCCAGTGATTTATGTTGAAATTATCTCGATTTTGTGATAATCCATTAAAATGTAAATTAGGACACCCGTAACTTATTTGAATCTGAGCCTGCTCCGGACAAAACTGATCTGCGCAAAAACAAAACCACAGCTATGTTTTTGTCACAGTGGTATTTTAAATGCTAAAATTTGATTCAACTATTTTTTCCTTGGCCCATAACAGGACAAAACGTGCGGAGCAAAACTTTTACAAAATCATAAAGCGGGTTAAGTTTCTTTTATTTTCTTAATAGGGAGGTTCTTGTCTAAAAATAGCTACAATTAGAATCATTATGAGGACAGAAATCGGCTTGGATTAAATGGTGCGGGATGAAATTTCACATTAATGCCAAACATACCGATACTCTCGGATTTTGTTCGTTCCTACAGATTTCTTATGCATGCGCAAATTATAATCCAAGTTTCGTTTTCATGGTTCATTGAAATAAAACGTGGGTGACTGAAAACCGGTTTTCTTCTAAGCGCATAAAGGATGCTTACAGCCTATGACTACTTTCTTTAGTATAAGTATCAACACTACTTAATACTTACCTCCAAAATTGGGTCTCAGCCGCTTGTCGTACCCCGCAAGCAACCTTTGTAAAACCAGTTTCGTGCGAGTGTCATTGCTGAAATGAAATCATTCGCTTTTTATAAGGGCTGTATTTGATTCACCACTCACGCTCTCCATGCTTTATTCTTTGAGCTGTATATTTTTCCCATCAAGCAGGGTTTTCTTTTTTTTTTTACCACCGAACAGAATTCGAGCGACCAGCAAACTTAACAATTAAGCTACATTGTCTTTATCACCTGCTCTGTCTTATCTGCTTTTCTCTATTTCATCGCGAGACAGCGGGTAGGAAAGGATAAAACACAAGCCAGAAAAAGTTACATCACACGAGTTAAATACTTGAGTTGTTAGATATAGCATGTATTAAAGATGGTCAAGAATTTAAGCTCCGTGGAGCTACAGGGGCAACCTGGACGAGTTATCACGTGTCCTATAAATCTTTTTATGCTATCATGAATTTTTTAGCGGCTCGTTTGATTTGCATAGATAATTTAAAACGCGCTGTAAGACTTTAGATGAAGCTTTCAGATAGAAATATGACCGTTCAGTTGATAAACATTTTGACTATCCTGTTTGACTATTCAACTCCTTTTTTAGGTACATATTAGGAAAACTTGAGAATTTCTAATAAAATAATTTCACAACGTGGAGTTTCGTGTCAATTCTTGGGAAAACATAAAGTGCGCTTGGATTTTTACAGGGGTTAGTATTCTAAATTTGTTATGGTCACCGAAAAACCGACACATCTAGCTTTCGAAACTACTGCTGTACACTAACATAAAACTAAATATCGTTTAGAACTACCTCAATTTATTTTAATAATAGCTCCACAGAATTATTTTTGCTCTAACTTCTTCAGAACGAGAATCGAAGAAGAGTCAACTACACCCTCGAGTTAAGCCAAATTCGATACGTTGACACTGAAATAAAACTCACCTGTTTGCGTTATAAACAGCGTGTGAAATTAGGAAGTTGCCTGCTAAGGTCAGCCCGAGAAAGAGAATCGTTAAAAACATTCTTGCAACGACACAACAACACAGTTCTTGCAAAGACGTTTTTCCCAGAACCCCTCAATAATCACTCTTGAACTTTCTGCGCTGTTTAAATTTTGGCGAGTTTCGTCTTGTTTGTTTTTCATTCATTAGCAACTGTGATGCCATATACTTTGCATAAAGGATCGACAAAAACAATTGTAATTGTTGTCAGAGATTTTTCACTGGTGAAACTGTAACGCAAAAAAGCGTTCTAAGTCGATGGATGAATTACATGAGTTGAGAGCAAGTTATTAGTTGCGGTCTCTCTCGACATCAGAAAATTTCCGTCTTAATCAGAGAACGGAATCTACAAACAGCGGTAAACCTTAATTTGTTGCTAGATAACGACTAGTGAAAATAGAACTAGATTCTCATGTAAAAATAGAACTAGATTGAAATTTGGCGTGTGCCGTGATAATGACGAAATTTTGCCACATTCAACTTGCAGAGCAGCTGAATCATATTCAGCCTGCTGTTGTCGAAAGCAATTTCCCCAAGTGATTTCAGAATGTCTCAGCGCGTGAATGTAATTTACCCTTGTCTTTATTTCAGTCTCCTGTCGATTCTAACAGTATCGCAGCTGGAATATGACAATTTTTATGCTTAGAGAGAATTTTCATCAATCACTGTCACGAAAGAAAACTGTAGGGAGCTTTACATTCGGCATATCCGTCGGTTAAAGTTAAACGCTCGCAACTTCGTTGCACGTTGTTTTCAAGGAATAATGGAAAAAACGAAGTTAATTTTATGGCGCCACGATTAATTTGCCTTTTAAGGTAATGACCGATTAAAATCGGTCATTACCGAGTCTTAAAAGCCTTTAACTTCATATTGACTCGTGCTTTTAGAGCTTTTGAACTGAATTGAGTTATTTTTGAAATTAAAACTAGACGCATAGCTGCGTGAATTCGGGCTTTCAATATGGCACACCTGAAGTTATCTTTTGGGGACTGCTATATTGCCATTGTTACTGTCGTCACGCAATTTCGTCATTGCTGGTCACGAATAAGCCTACTTGTGTTTTTTTTTGTCTGCTGGAGTGTAATGAATGTTGTTATGGTGCTAGACAACAATCAAAATAATATCACCATGTAGGAGTAGGTTCCTTGAATTTCAACCTTTGGCATCTGTTGGACTTTTCAATGACTTTGTAGGCCAAGTGTTAGAAAATTGAAAGACCACTTTTGGAAAGCTTTGCATAAGCAATTTTGAAATTATTTAATATTGTTTCTCAGCTTTTCCGTGTAAGTACTGTAATTTTCAACTTGAAAATCGCTAAAGAAAAAGCATTGCAAGAATCAACTCCTGAGTCTCAAATTCAAGTGCTGTTAAGGCACTGAATATTTTATTTTTAAATTAAAGCATCTTCAAGGACTTTCAAGGCTTCTACGAACCCTGAGTAGGTAATGTATTTGCCTTTAACTGCAAGGAGAAGGGAATTTTTTTATCTATTATAGGTACCGAGTCATAGTTTGCTGCCAAATGTTCATCCAAGAGGAGTTGTCAGAAATCAGTAGATTGAAGCAATATTACTGCGCCACTACGTTATTTAAATTGTAGCCTGCGGTTATTAGCGCTGCTCGCGCACTTCGGGACTCTGCCTGTTCCATGCGCTCGCCACTGATTCAAGTTGTCGGCGTAAATTAAACCTCTGAGTTTTACGCAGTGACACCTTTGTTGGCGCTGTTCAATAATTCATATTGTTTTTAGAAGGAAAATCTCAGAATATTGAATATTGCTGATGGCTACAACAAGAGAAGCATCGAAGAAGCAGTGCTATTTACAGATTTAGTAGATTAAATTAGAGGCATTAGACTTTCATTAAATACCAAGAGCGAATACACATATTTTGACCTTTTTGTGGGTTTAAAAATACATGTCATACAAAAAACTGAAAACTACATCAAAAAACCCTGTGCATTCACTATTATTTCTTACAAGATTTTCAAGAATTGATTTGCTGTCAACTGAATCAGACAATATTCCTTCACTGTAATCACTTTTAGAATCTGAACTTATTTCAGTTCCACAAACATCAACAGTTTTTGGCAAATCATCTTACGGTAAATACTTGTTTAAAGATGAATTTTCTTATAATCTTTTGCCATACTGAATAACATTAGATAAGGGATTTGAATTGCAATAACTACATGATTTTATTACGGGGTAGCAGAGTGAATAGACAGCCACAGCACAACTCACATTGAACTTTCTGGTTGCACAGGAATCGACAAAATTGTTGAAATTTTCAGATATAAGTGATTGAAAGTCTCTAAGGAGTTACAGTACTGATATCCTTCTATTGTAGTTTCTTGATGAATAGTACCGGTGTAGATCTCACTGTATTAAAGTTCATAATCAGTCTCTAACACATTTAAAAGTGTGGGTAATTCTGTCTGCATTAAAATGATTGTCTGGTTAACAGAGACAAACATGAATACAACTGATTTCCAATACTCATTATTGACACGAGATCATTTGCAGAATTGATTCCTTTTTTGTTATTGTAAATCAAAGAGTATAAACTCATTGTAACACATTTTTTTCCTGAATTTTGTCCAAATATCAATTCATTAGCTTGGCTATATGGTGCTATTATTGTTTTGCTAGGGTCAATGTACATTGGAGTAGGACCAGGATTTTTTTCAACATCTGAACTCAGTTGAAATTTACAATAGTTTGATGCGTGTGTCTGACTCTTACAGAGACACAAGGGTCTATTACAAGAAAACATTGATAATTAGTATAATTTCAGAGCTGAGCAAAGAGTTTCCAGCAATCTGATTGGTCGAGCGGTTCCTTCTATGACGCTATATAAACCGCTTCACGCGGTTCATATAAAATGTTAATAAAATGTTAATAAATATTACTAAAATGTTATGATTTTAGAAAATTCTCTGTTGTGCGGCTCTGAAATTATACTAAAACAGTTATTCGCCTCAGGTTCCGTGAATATCGTCGAATAATTGTTATATACCACCTTGCTCTCTACTTCAAATTCATTACTCCTCTAATATACCCTCACTGAAAAATTCAACAAATACTTATCATGTTTTGTAACTTTATTTAATCTCACCCTCTTCGTATATTCTATCGTATATTCACCGCCTACGAATATTCTTTGTAACTCTTCCAACCTTCACATAACGACGTAGCCAAGAGGACTTCGGTATGCTTGGACGGTGTCCAATCTTTTCGTCCAAGTCTTTTTGTCCGAAAGTCTTTTCGTCCAAAAGTATTTTCGTCTGTACGTCTAATTGTTAAGTCTTTCCGCGAAGCAAATAAGTAACTATTATATTATAGATAAGGCTAGATAAAGAACTTATCAGTGCGAGCCGTTGTCCTTTTGGTTCACCAATCTTCGTTTACGAATTCAACGTCATGAGTTTAACGATAAATACACAGAGAATGAATGAAGTTGTAACGCAATATATTTTATAAAACAGGGGCAAAAATAAAGACTTGCTTGCCGCTTAATTAAGAAAGAAATAAAGAAATGGGAATATTAGGCTTGTTGTTAAGCGTCTATTGAGCGTAAAAGGCAACGAAGTATAACATCACTACGTGTCCGACATACCCAACAACATAGTAACCCTTCGTTATANTTTTTTAGTGAAATTATTGTGAGTGAAATTTGGACTTACTTGACTAGACAGAATGATACTTTGAAAGGAAGCCGGAAACCAAGATTTTGTTGAGTACGTTGCAGTACAATGCAGATGTTGTTTTTTTAAAACTTAAACCGGCAGGCTAACTCTTTTTGCGTAATCATAGAGTTACAAAATCGTTTAAATATCTTTGATTCAAATCGCTAAGATTGATTTATTTCCCGCAGACAACAATTTTATTTCCCCTCTGAGCAGAAGGCACTGCAAGCGTGGTAATGCAATACGTGATGTTATGAGGGAAATAAGAAAATCTGGTTTCTCAGTTGTCATTAACCAAACCCTGTTTTTTTGCCGTAAAAGAATTAAAAGGATTCAAAAACTGTGTAAAAAAAAAAAAAAAAGTGAATTAATTACATCTTTCTTGTATGTTTCCGGTATGTTCCATTTGCAGACGGAGTCATTGTAGAATGACAAGCACTGGTGTGGCATTCTCAGGTGGCGGTATTCGGTCAGCGGCACTGTGCTCTGGAGTACTGCGCAGACTGCTTCAAAAAGAGACCATTCCAGACTTCCTCAGCTGTAATTCAGGGGGTGGTTACACAGGCACAGCTTATCTGGACTGGAAATACCGGAACGAGCAGAAAGACGATCCAAAATGGCATCGGGAATTCTTCACAAACATGCGCAGACGAGTTGGAATTATTTGTGATTGGCAGAAACCCTTGCAGGGGATCTTGGATGTCTTTGTAATTCTCTTTCTTTTCCTATTGGTGGTAATCGTTCTTCCAGTCTCCAACTGGTCTGGTTTTGCTATTCCTGTTGCTTTTATCATTGATCGCTTCTTCGGTCGTTTGATGAGAATTCCCTTTACCTGCCCCGATGAAAAGAAGCATAATTTTACCAAAGCTGAAATGGTGGAGAATCCCGCAGTCTCCGTGGTTTTCAATATGTCAGAAACAGTCGAATGTGTCCCCAAATTCAGCCCTGAAATGCATTCTACGTTATTTACGTTTGCTTTTCTCTTTTTGCTGTTTCTTTTCTTTTTTGTCATGAAAAAGGTGGTAAGACCATCTTTAGAACCGTTCGCCATATTTCTGTCTAACTTCTCCGGGTTCGTGTTTGCGATGGTTTTCCTTCCGTGGTTCATAGAGGAGTTCGTTGTTGTGACACCCTATTGGCTGAATGCTCTGATTTTAGTTCTCAGCATTTTCTTATGGCTTGGCATACCTCCACTCAGGGACAAAGCGTCTTTAGCAATGGCTGTCTATTTTTATGCTTACGCTGTTAAGTGGAGAGTCTATAAAACAGATGTTCTTTCTGTAAAATACGACGAAACTACATTTTATCTCTTGGTATGGATCTCCGGAATATTAATCTGGATCAATCCCCTACTAGGTGTGTTTCAAAGAAGTGCTCTCCATGCTTACAACAGGTATTGAAGATCTTAATCGTAACAGCAATAACGATAACAGTAGCGATATCGGTTACGACAATAGTGACGATAAAATGAGATTGACAATCACAATGACTCTAACAATGAAAATAAGAAAGACGATGATGATGACGATGATAACAGCAATAATAATGACAATGTCAATGACAATGACGATGAAGATGCAATAATAATGACAATGACAATGACATTGACGATGGCAATGACAATGACGATGACGACGACGGTGATGATAACGATGATGACGATGACGACGACGATGATAATGATGGTGACAATGACAATGACTATGACAGTGACGATGATGATGATAATTATAATATTGATACTTGATGATACTTAAAATTTGAAGCTGATCAATTTGTGTTGATGGTGCCTTTTCTTGTTAATTAAATAGTTAAAACTCTGAGATAAGATCAATCCCCATGGAAAGAATGTAAAACGATAGTAATATACCAAACAAAATAACACTTTCGTTCACAAATTAAAGTCTCCTTCCGCAGATCATCCCATACGAGAGAAGACCACAAGGACCACAAGGGGTTAAACACTTTACGCATTGCTTGTAGTCAAAATTCGTTCATAGATTGAAAAGGTTTTAAACAAGAACATGGTGGAAAATTTTAGCGGATTTCAATGCTTCCACAACCCACTTCAGAATGATACACCATCATTGTTCACTACTTTATCGCATCGACTTTCACTGCAAAGCTTCAAAGCTTTAAACTATCCAGACTGGCTCTCTGTTTCCTTTTATTTTTTCCAAGGAAATATGTGCGTTCCTACATATCTTCTTTGGGAAGTGATAAAGTTCCTACTGAACTTTTGAAATGATACTTGTGTTCCACAAGGTGGCGGCTCCAAAGAGCGTTTTACTCTCCTGAGACTACTTCGGCCACTCTCTGTTCCGGGTTCACGTGTCAAGACTTCATTCCCTTGTTTACATGCTGCTCAGGAATAGATGCTGAGAGATTGAATCAATCTTTGACCCTTGATGACCTGGCCGGAATTTCACCAGAGTACATCTGCAATACGACTGTCCATGAATGGCGAGTTACCTCTTCACATAGGTAATAAGAAATTGACCAATTTATTTTGATACACGAAAGATTAAAATTGGAGTTGGCTAAGACCCACTGATTCCTTTGTGCTCGCAATGTCAGGATGAAGGGTGTCGAGTTAAAACATTTTTTGAGGTTTCAAACCCGGACTGAAGTGTAGATTGTGTGTGATCATCTATCATCTTAAGTAATCTTAGACGTAAACTCATCGTCTTTGCGCAAATATTTTGTCGCTGTGATTAGTCGCAAGAGATTCAAACTAGTTTGACGCAGTTGACATCCAAAGAGGCTTGTCGTGGACCTGTCCTGAGATTTGCCTTAAACATCTCAGAATTCAATAAAACTTACCCTCTTTTGCCTGAGCTGTCCCTTCTTGCAAACGGTTCCGAGTCATGCCTTACCAAAATTATTTTACACTAGAGAGTCTTCGTACGAGCTATTTACAATGGCACCCTCTAGAATTGAGAGAATTGACAATACACGGGGACCAAAACAGTTCGAAGGCAGGCTCCATCCTGCAGATATTAAGCTGGCAGACGCCATGGCAACCTCAGCAGCTGCGGTGTCATACCGAATGGGGAAGCACACCCTTAAACCATTACAGACCTTGCAGATTATGCTTGGAATAGGAATGGGTACAGCTATAAAAGCTGAACCCAGAAGTCGACGAGGGTGCTTTTCAAGAGTAAGTCACAGTTTTTACTAGTATGCATACTTCACCAGACGTGAGATACATAATAAGTCAGTAAAAAAAATAATAAATGAAGTGATAGCTGAACAATAATAATCAAACAAAGAAGAAGGTGAACATCTAGCAATTTTTACCACACCAAAGATTAAGCACGCGACAGAAACGCTAAAACAAGTATCTGTAATGATTTAGAGACTGGCTGGTGATGAGGATTTTATCCTCCATGATAAAATAAAATATATTTGAAAAAACCTTCCAATTTTAGCTGATTATCGAGGGATAATAGTCTGCTTTGAGCAGCAAATAAGTAATCAATACTTTTCTCTTCTTCCTTTTGTTCCCAGTTTGTTGCTGTTATCAGTCATCTTGTTCTGGCACTTCCCATATTGCTGCTGCCTCTGATACCTATACTGGGTGGAAGTGAGGTTTGGAACGAAAGAGCCGTGATCTTTTTTCTCGTCTTCTTCTGCGTGTCGACGCTGATCGCCGTCATGCCCACAGGCGCAGAAAACCCCAGATGCTGGCAACATTTTGTTAGGTATTGTCAACCCGACAACAACTTGAATAAATTTAAGGTTTCCATAATCATTCAGCAAATCCTTCAGATCCTTTTTAACCATTTACACCCCAACATCAGTATATTCTCCATACTGTTCGACAACAACTTGAATAATTTTAAGGTTTCCACAATCATTCAGCAATCCTTCAGATCCTTTTTAACCCTTTACACCCCAACATCAGCATATTCTCCATACTGTTCTCCAAACAATTCCTAAGATGCTGGCAGGGAGAGTTTGCTTATCAATCAAGACTTTCTGTAGTTGTTGATCATTTGTATTATTCTCCTGACCTTAATGTTTGATTCAGGGGTGATATCGTAAGGAGAAATTAGATGCTGATCACTCTTAGCAGTTGAAGAGTTAAAGCAGAATGATAAATCGCACTGATTTGTCCTTCAACTGTCTGTTCAAGAGAGCCACGTTAGTGCTAAGGGACCCAAGTTCGGATTAACGACAGGTTCCACTTGAAATAGCTCGAGCCGGCGAAATTTAAATGTATTTGCTAATAACGAGCCGTTGCCACGGTGACATAAATGAATGTTAATCGACTTGAATAAGCGAATAATCTTGAACATGTCATTTTGGTCGCCCATGAAACGCTTCACACAATTAAAGGCTGTTGCAAAATGCTTAAGAAACGGGAAAATCTTTGAGAAATCAACGCTAAAGTTGTGCACTTCTTTTTCTGTAGGTGGTGTATCGTCAACGTGTATCATGTCAGGGTCATCCGGGAACTTTTGAGGGTAGTCAATGAAGGCCCCACTCCCCCGCCAATCCTTTACCTGAGCGACGGAGGCCATATTGAAAATCTGGCCCTTTTACCTTTGCTGAAACGGAAATTGAAGAAGATTCTGGTTGTCGATGGGGGAGCTATAGAATGGGATAAGGGAATGGCAGGAGATCTACTCATTTCCCTGCAGCAGGCTCGACAGAAACTCCGTTGTTCATTCATAGGGATGGATGGGAGGGATGTAATCGAAGATATCAGAGCAAAAGTAATTGATAGGCCTGCGGGGATGAGGCCGAGAAGTTATCGATTTAAAGTGGAGTATTACGATTTAAAGGAAGATGGGGGAGAAGAGAAAGCCGGTGACGGAGAAGTACTTTATATTCTTCCACGTCACCCTGATGATGGCCTCCAGGGAGAGCGAAAGAGCTGGGATGAGTTACACGATCACACGAAAACCGATATCGAGGCTGCTCTATGGGGGACTGGACCAGATTTGGAAGCAGAGGAGGTGGAGCGCTTGACGTTTTGCTGCTCTGAATGCTGTCATTGCTCTCATTTGCAATATTTATCACATTCTTGTTGTGGTATATTCCCGTATCATTCTACATCCAATCAATTATTCACGCCCGCCCAGTTTTCAGCGTATCATCGGGAGGGCTACCACGCCTGTGTGGAGGCCCGCGCCATCGAGTTTCTTAAGGAATCTGAGGAGATCTCCGAGGAATAGTAGCTTGGGGTTCAGATTATTACTATGTAAAATGGTACTAAGACGGAATATATTCCAGAATCTATTCCCAAATGAATAAACTTATTTTTCTTACGAAAAATTTATAGGGTCAAGAAATGGATGTATGAAATGGTTTTCGTTTTGAACGATGTGTTCAACACGCTATTTAAAAATGTTAAATTACGGCATCCAAGATTTGATAGGAGCGAAAATTGAAACAGAAAGATACGATAGACAGAGAAATGAATGTTCTGGAAATATTTGAATGCTTCTAAAAATTCTCTGTTTTCTGTATATGTTCAGAATAGACATGTGTTTCAATGGAGTTCATTGCCAGAAGTGGTGTTAGAGGAAAATTTATGTGTTTTAGTTTTGGACAAATTTTTAGTATTTTGCGGTCGCGCAGTTCAAGTTTATTTTTCCGGTTTCGATAACAATAATAATAATAATGATAATGATAACGATAATGATAATGATAATGATAATGATAATAATAATAGTAATAATATCATTTATATAGCGCTTTATACAAAAGTAGAGTAGAGTAGATATCTATATTTATACAGGATAGCCCCTTCAGTGTAGTAAACACTGGTATCAACGGAGGTCCTGTTACTCACCCCTCCCATACCC